GCGCATCTCCCCATGAGTCCCTCAGAAACCCAGTCAGGAACCAAACAAAGCGACCCCAATGATAATTTAGTTGTAAGTCTTTAAAAAATGAGCCCGGCTGATTTATTTTGAAATTTCAGTTAAGCACGATGTCAAGAAAATCTCGGCGGCTATTTGTCATGTTTCTCCTCTTAGCGTAGTCCGAACAGGCGGAATAAAATTAGAAGCCGGCTGCTCATAGGCTCCCGCTCTTGTTGTAGGCTTTGACTTTACTACTAGGATAGCCAAGATGCTTTGATGACAGTCTTCTGCCGGAACACTTGTCATAGCAAGGAAGACCTTTCTTCTGCCACCGGCTCCTTTTATGAGCCTTGTTATACAGCTGCAGGAGGGAACGCGATGGATCATCTAATAGATATATATTTCACGTTGGCTAGACCTACCACTCTCGTTTTTTTTTTTCATACCATAACCTGAAAAGCATAAAAAATCAGATTTTTCTTTTGTAGCTTTGAATAATGGAAAGTTCAGCTTTTTGACTTTCAAAAGAAATAAAGCTTATATTTACTGCTCTCTACTAGTATGTTTTAGAGTGTTTTATATTTGTTCGTGTGTGCACATGCGTGTGTGTGAGAGTGCAAAAGCTATGACACATTGTCGCCTATCGTGTGAGCTCTTAGGCTGGAACCCAAGTCACCAGGCTTGGCGACAGCTATATTTATACAGAGTCATCTCTTTGGCCCCTCTTAAGTGTATTTTATAGGACACTTTAGACATCTTTGTGTGGTAGATGTGGCAACTTTCCTTAATCTAATAATTGAACCATTAAAGCCAATCTCCCAGGCCGTTCCACATACATTTCTTGTGTTTCAGAAATCTTTTAGTTCCAACTATGGGTCATTGCAGTCTCATGATCATCTAGGGTCAGTTCTGGGAGACACCACCAAGGTATGTGAAGAAGGATGCTGGGATTCTCAGGACAAGTCAAATCTTCCCTGGTTGCTTAAGGCCAAGGCTAAAACTTTGGCTTTCTGCTTATAGACCTTAAGTAGCTCCTCTCTTGTAAGAATGGGCAATACAGAGCCCTGCAGTGGTTCATATCTTTAATCTCAGCACCCAGGAGGCAGAGGCAGGCAGATCTTTGTGAATTTGAGGCCAGCCTGGTCTACAGAGCTAGTTTCAGGACAGCCATGGCTACACAGAGAAATCCTGTCTTGGGGAGGGGGAAAGGGGGAAGAACATGTAAAATAAGGGGTGGGTGGGGGGAGGAGTTACAGATAAATTAAAGCCAAAGAATTTTGCATTGGCAGAGATAAAAATGAACTTTTCATTCTGCACGTAGTTGATTATTTTTGACAAATGTATACAGTTGTGTAAATCACTATTGCATTCAAGTTACAGAGTATTGCCACGCCTGAAGAAGTTCCCCATGCCTCCTTCTGCTCTTCAACTGGACATTGGGGGTTCAGTCCATTGCTCTGATGAGGGTCTCTGTCTCTATCTCTATCCGTCGCCAGACGAAGATTCTATGGTGATATTCGAGATAATCATCAGTGTGATAGTGGGGCAAGGCCAGTTCAGCACCCTCTCCTCTGCTGCCCAAGGACCTAGCTGGGGACATCCCTATGGACACCTGGGATCCCCTCTAGAGACAAGTAAGTCTCTTGCCAACCCTAAAATGGCTCCCTTAAAGTAGGTAGCTTCTTCCTTGCTCCTATATCTGCCCTTTCACCATCTCCACCCTCCCACTCCCCCAAGCACTCTCCAGTCTTTTTCTTTTCCCTTCTCTCTCCCCCTCCCCTTCCCCCACCCCCACCCCACCCCCTTGCTCCCAACTTTTGCCCAGCAATCTTGTTTGCTTCCAATTTCCAAGACTCTCTGAATGTGGCTGACAATGGAGGCTGAGAAGCCATTGATAAAGGCACTGGGACTTGTTTCTACTGCATGTACTGGCTTTTCAGGACCCTAGTCTATTTGGATGCACAGCTTCCTAGGCCTGATGGAGGGAGGAGGGCCTCAGACTTCCCACAGGGCAGGCTACCCTGCCCTCTCTTAAGGAGAGAGGGGGAGGGAGGAGGGTGAGTGGGGGAGCGGGAGGGGAATGGGAGGAGGGAAGGAAGTGTAAATTTTTGAATGGAAAAATAAATAAATAAAAATAATAAAAAAAGAAGCTCCCCATGCTTTGCGGCAGTCATTGGCATCAGTCGTAGTAGTAAGTGTCGCCAGGAGCAGCTGGCAAACGGGGTGAACGGCTGGACAGAGCATGGCTTGTCTAAGGAACTAACAGCTATGGAACGTTACCTAGATGCCTTATGCAAGGATGAAGTCATTGGTTTATTCAGCCCTCTCGACTCTTTGGAGTCTTCCATTCTACAGAAAAGGTAACTACAGCCCAGGGAATTTCAGTAGGGAGCCCCAGGGTCGCATCCATTCAGCTTGTGTTTCCCACAGCATTGCTTTCTACAGCCAACGTTCAGAGGAAAAAAAAATACAGAAAGAAAGACAGAAGCTACGTATGCAAGACCAGGTGCTGTATGATTCTAGTTATTTGAAGTCCTAGAAAAGATAAGCTAGTGGTCAAAGGCTGGTACCTTGGGCAGGGAAGGGGTTCACTAGGAGAGGCTTTTAGGATTATGGTTAGAGCATATTGACCAGAATGGTAATTCCTCGGCTGTGTACATTTGCCAAAACTCATCAACCTGTGTGCTTAAAACTGAACATTAGATATAAACTATAATTCAGAAATGCCATTTTTAAAAGAGAGTATTAGAGGAAGACAATGTGGAAAGACTTGGCAGACATTCCTTTGTTCACAACTCCAAACAGGAGCAGTGAGGTGGCTCAGTGGGCAAGGGTGCTTGCTGAGCAAGCCTGACAGCGTGATCACCAGAAGTCACGTGAAAGGTGAGAACTGCCTCCTAAGGGTTGTCCTATGACTGCTATGTGGGCGCTCGCACACGCATGTGCACACACGCGCGCGCGCGCACACACAAACACACACACACACACACACACATAACAATCGTTTAAAAGTTACAATGTCATTATCATGTTCAGAAATATAGCTATTGTTTCCAGGGATATAGTGCAGGGATATTTTCATGTAGCTTATGCACTGAGAAAATTTTAAATCTGGCCGAAGATACGTTAGTGGCCACTGTGACTTTGAAACTGAACCAGTAAACTCGATTTTCAGGCACTGAATGACCAATTTAAATATGCGTGTTTCTAAATCCATTGCAAATGACTGCTGACTGAGGATCTGATTACGCACGGTCCAGAAAGAGCCTGCAAGAAGGACTGTTTACTAACATTTCAATTTCTATGGCTCATTTGTTAGACTTAGAATAAAAGGGTGAGAGGGCTGTTTGGGATTGTCTTTAACCTTGATGATATTTCCACTGAAGCAGCATAATGGCTCTTAATTGCTTAAGTGAGGAGAGCGTGTTGACGTGTCCTTCTTTGAGCTGAGAGCTTCGGGCCTAGACTATTATGCTAATTCAAGCATTATATACACCTAAGTATTTATGAGGCTGACACCGGTGATGTTGCAGGTAAAGGGCTGTGAAATGGTCTGTAAACAGAGAGAATTGATTTGAGGCCCAAAAGCAGTGCTGGTAAAAGTCACAGCCATTGAACAGCCAACCCTACAATTTCTATCCAGATTGTCAACCTAGGTCAGATGGTGTCAGCAAGGCTGTCGTTAGAGATCAGATGGGTGGCTAAATAATATATAAACCAACCACACAGGCACTTGGATGGTGACAGTCTAGTCCCATCTGGCGTGGCCAGGTGTAGATGCCTACATGCACATGAACTTTGGTTAGGGACGTTCCCCAGCGCTGTAGTCAGTGGATGTTAATGTGTTGGTTTCTGATGAGAGAAAGGCTTTTAGCCAAGCAGTAGTGTGCTTTATCCAGGGATTGTCCACGTAAAGAGACATGGGAAAAGCAAACATCAGAAACCCCAAAGAATAAAACAAGGATGGCCGTCTGATCTCAGTGCTAGATCTTCTGTATCCTTAGCATCTTTTGTGTTCCAGTCTTTTCAGTATTAGGATTGTACAAACAAGCCTCCAGATAATTATGCAAAAAAAAAGAATGGTGGGCAGTAGGGTGTAGTGGTATTTTGTTTACGTTTTAACAAATAAAACCTGCCTGAAGATCACAGTGCAGAGTTAAGCCACTAGAGGCCAAGGAGTGGCTCACACCTTTAATCCCAGCAGAGGCAGAGGGATCTCTGTTAGTTAAAGGCTACGCTGGGGATTTCACGCCTTTAATCCTAGCATTTGAAAGGCAGAGGCAAAGGGATCTCTGTTAGTTCAAGGCCAACCTGGGGATTTCACGCTTTTAATCCCCACCCTGGGGATTTCACGCCTTTAATCCCCACCCTGGGGATTTCATGCCTTTAATCCCCACCCTGGGGATTTCACACCTTTAATCCCCACCCTGGGGATTTCATGCCTTTAATCCCCACCCTGGGGATTTCACACCTTTAATCCCCGCCCTAGGGAGGCGGAGACAGGGAGTGGGTGGGCAAAGAGAGAGTATATAAGGCAGGAGGAGACAGGGGTTCATTGCAATCAGAAGTTTGGTGGAGACAGTTGCCGTCTGAGGATTGCTGCTCCAGTCAGAGGAGAAGTCTGAAGAGACGATCAGAGGACAGGATTGTTCCTTGGGTCTGAGCATCGGTAGAGGTAAACGTTCTCTCTACTGGCTGTCCACACTGCTTCTCTGGTCCTTTCACCCTCTAATGTCTGACTCCAGATTTCATTTATTAAAACCATCAGAATTCATATGTTTTATTAGTGTTGAGCTCTTGGATTGGTTAGCCGTTATGATTTAAACCTATTTCTATCAGGTAGAGTGGCGTTTGAGGATTCTTGGAGACAGGATCTTGCCCCATTTCGGTCTGAGGTAGAGCGTCTTTGAAGAGAGGAATTACATCAGAGCCCCGGGGCTAACTTCAGACCCTGTCGACTTGGTTCCCGAGGTGCCTAGCACACGGAATCCTCTGCCACAATGCCTTGTGTGCACTATAAATTTGCCTCTAAACTCAACTACGACATCATCATCTTCGATGGGCCCCATATCTCCGTCTGTGACTTAAAGAAGCAGATTATGGGGAAAGAAAAGCTGAAAGCTACCAAGAACGACCTGCAGATCACCAGCGAGCAGACGAAAGAAGAATATACCGACAATGCGCTAATCCCTAAATACTCATCTGTAATTGTGAGAAGAATTCCTACTGTGGGTGTTCAGTCCACGAGGAAGACGTCTGTGATACGTCAAGCTGCCAATCTGGCTGAAGCCAATGCTTCTGAGGAAGATAAAATTAAAGCAATGATGTTGCAATCTAGCCAGATGTACAACCCATTCAATTACGTGAAGAAATCGCTAGGTCCACCGACTCCGTTTCACGACCGTTTCCGTTCTGGTAAACCTGATCATTACAATAAGAATTGCTCAACAAACGGGGTTGAGAACTCATCTGGCCGCAGACTCAGAAAGAGCTCTGGGATTCCTCGAAGCTTCATGATGGAAGTGAAAGACCCTCACATGAAAGGGGTAATGCTTACGAACACCGGCAAATACGTAATCCCGATGATAGATGCAGAGGCCTATGCGATCGGGAAGAAAGAGAAGCCACCCTTCTTACCAGAGGAGCCATCTTCATCTTTAGAAGAAGACGATGCTGCCCCAGATGAGTTCTTGTGCCTCATCTGCAAGGACATCATGACTGACGCTGCTATCACCCCCTGCTGCGGAAACAGCTACTGTGACGAATGTATTAGGACAGCACTCCTGGAATCAGATACACATACGTGTCCAACATGCCACCAGGACGATGTTTCTCCTGATTCTTTAGTTGCCAACAAGTCTTTACGGCAGGCCGTGAATAACTTCAAAAATGAAACGGACTATACGAAAAGTCTCCGGACACAGTCACCTCCACCGCCTCCCCCAGTAGCACCACCAAGATCTCAGAGCGAAATATCACAGAAGACTCAAGGCCCGTCACTACCGGCAACACCAGTCCTTGTGCCTGCTCCACCACCTCCTTTGGACCAGCCGCCTCCCCATGCATGGCCTCTTCCTCCACACGTACCTCCCCCACAGTGCTCTCCTCAATTTCCTCCCGGCCAGCCCCCACCTGCAGGATACAGTGTCCCTCCTCCAGGGTTTCCACCAGCTCCTGCCAATCTCTATGGGGTGCCACCAGGAGTTCAGACTGCTCATTCAAATACCATCCCTACAACGCAAGCACTACCTTTGTCCAGGGAAGAATTCTATCGGGTGCAACGATGTCTAAGGGAAGAGGAAAAGAAAAAGTCCAAGCTAGAGTTGACAAATAATTTTGCTAAGGAATTGATGGGATACAAACAGATTCAAAAGGAGCATCGGCGCTCATTTTCCAGGTCTAAACGTCCCTATGGTGGTTCGTCATATTCAAGAAACTCATACACTTACTCAAAGTCAAGATCTTGCTCCACACGGTCCCGCTCTTACTCGCGATCCTTCAGCCGCTTGCACTCTTGCTCCTATTCACGCTCACCTCCGTACCCCAGAAGAGGCAGAGACAAGAGCCGTAAGGACCGTTCACGGTCCAGATCTCGTGGTTATCACCGATCTAGGTCAAGGTCACCTCTATATAGACATCATCATTCACGGTCAAGATCTCCTCAAGCATTTTGGGGACAGCCTCCCACTAAACGTAATGTACCTCGAGGAGAAACAGAACATGAGTATTTTAACAAAAACAGAGACGTTCCATCCGCTGGTGACACTAAAGACTATCACGGATGGAGTGTTGACTTTAGAGACCCATTTGAGAAAGAACGCTACCGGGAATGGGAGAGGGAATACCAAGAGTGGTACGAACAGTACTACAAAGGATGTGCTCTGGGGGCTAACAGAGAGGACCTCTCCCCAGAGACACTCTTACCTCTTAATAGCAGAAATTCACCCTTCAGAGGAGGGGGCGGAGAAGACTATGCTGCTGGACAAAGTCATAGAAATAGAAATCTAGGTGGCGACTATCCAGAAAAGCTTTCAACAAGAGATCGTCACAATCAAAAAGATAACACCAAATCAGAAGAGAAGGAGAGTGATACCATCCCAGGAGACGATAAAGGAAACAAACATAAGAAACGCAGAAAACAAAGAAAGGGGGAGGAGAGGGAGAGCTCCCTGAACCCTGAACTGGTAGAAACGCCCAGGAAATCCAGGGAGCCATCAGGAGTTGATGACACTAAGACACTGATTGTTCTCCCAAGTAGAGATGATGCTACACCGGTTAGGGATGAGCCAATGGAGGTTGAATCTACCAGTTTCAAATCAGAGTCTGAAACAGACAAGGGAGAAAAAGATAAGCCAGAAGTTAAAAGTGACAAAACCAAACGGAAAAGTGACAAAACCAAACGGAAAAGTGACAAAACCAAACGGAAAAGTGATGGCTCTGCTGCGACCAAGAAGGAAAGTCATTAAAACCATGGAGGAATATGATATTGATAATACAGCTCCTGTTGACGATGTTATAATTAGGGTCCAGTTTCCTTAGTCCAAATGGGATAAAGATGACTTTGCATCTGAAAAAGACATTAAATCCACACAACCTATGCAGAATGTAGGGAAACCATCTAGTACTATGAAAAATGTTATTGTAATAGTCAAGGACACTGAGGAAGAATTGCAGTCAGAAAATTCAGAAGCTCACCAAGGAGGTGAGCCATGAAATGATACCACACACGGTCCAAAGCTCAAAGGCTCTGCGTCCAGTGAGAAGGGGGGAACCAAAGACCGGGACCACTCGGTATTAGAGAAGGAAATACCCAACAAGGGGAAGAGCAGTGCCCATCCAGAGAAGGAGAGCACCATGGACCGTCTGAATGGACAAGGAAATTGTAAGAACCTGTCTCAGTCTTTCAAAGAGACCAGGACTTCAGATAAGCGTGAATCCATTTGTGGTCCCTCAAATAAAGACTTCACTCCTGGTAGAGACAAGAAAATGAACTATAACAAAGGAGAATACTCCAGTTCCAAGTGAAGAGATGAGGGAAGTGAGCTAGCAAGAAGGAAGGACTCTCCTCCTCGGAGTAAAGACTCTTCATCTGGACAGAGAAGTAAACCCAGGGAGGAAATTGCCTAAAAATCACAAGAGGCATAAGAAGCATGCAGGTGCAGATGGGGACGCAGAGGAGAGCCAGAGAATGAGCAAGGACAAGGAGAAAGATGACCAAACAGTGAAATCTGTCACTGTGTGAAGGACGAATGTTTTAACTGACTTAATTGCTAAGTCATCTGTATTAAACTCTGTTATGATGTAAAGAAATCCCAGCCTTGTAAATAATAAATTGAATATTCCATGTTACACTTAAACTATTTGCTTCTTCATTACTGTTTTCTTTATTAATTAAATTAAAACCTTTACAAATTGAAGGTTTTGCTTTAATTTTAATCAGCTCAAGGGCTCAATAGTATTACATTTTCTAAAACTTTAACATGTGCGGTCACCTCAAGTATGGCATAATCGATAGTTACAAAAACATCTGTTTCAAAAAGCTGGCATGCTTTAAATGTCCATTTTGGAAAATGCTTAACTGTGCTCATGTGGCCTGCTTTGGTGGTAAGCAAGAGAGGTTTCCCAGTTTCTTCAATGACCAGTTTGGCGTCAGGGTTTCTTTAAGCCTCTGGACACACAGACGTTTGTTTCAGAGTTCTTGTTTATTCCTGTGTCGGCAGAAAAAGCCGGTAATAGGACTCAGACCACCTTTAGGATTATTTTGTTTCAATCCTTCCAGGGGCAAGGCTGATTTAACTCATTCTGAACAATAGTACCAAGATTATTCATTAAGGTATCCGAGGGCGTTCACAGTCTCTGAGTAACGCATAAGGGTCCCACATGTAAGGTTTCCAAGAGCGGTCAGTCCCAGAGAATAGCTGTAGAGATCTCATCTCTATGTGGATCAGTTCTGATAGGTTCATGGGAGTTGCTTGGAGGAAGTTACTCTAGGACTCTGGAGAGGCATTGTGTAGGATTAGCAGGGAAGCTGCTGTGCTCCATTAGCAATGCCTGCTGTAGGGAAGGAGTGAAAGCAGGGAACATTTCACTAGGGCACGCCATTTGAAGTTAGTAGGTTGTGTGATCTTCCCTGGCAAAGTGGGACCAGTCTAGATCATTACGTCCCAGGGTCCATTTCTATTCCTGTTTTTCTGTCTCTGTCATCCCTCTCTGTCTCTTCCCCTCCCCTTTCCTTTCATCTCCCCCCCCTCCTCCTCCTTTCCTGGGAAAAGAGAGAATAAGAGATCTTCCTGAGAATTATAAACAATTCCTTGACAAATATGCCAAGCAGTTGTTAAGTCCTGGGCCCTTGCCAGGTATGTATGAAAAACAGGCTTAGGTGGGTTCTCTCATTTGTTCAAAATTCTTTTACTAAATTAGGATACGAAAACTCACTAAAATCAGTATACTAGCTATTGTTACCTTGCTTGACAATGCTATATTTTAAATATAGATTTATTTGTGTTTCATTTTAAGTGTATGGGTGTTTGCCTGCATGTTTGTACAGGCATTTTGTGCATGACTGATACCTACAGAGGCCAGAAGAGGGTATTCAGTCACAGGTGGTTGGGGGCTGCTGTGTAGGTGCTAGAAAATGACCCAGGTCCTCTACAGGGCAGCAAACACTCTCAACCTCTGGACCGTCTCTCTGGCCTCACCTTGCTGTTTGTATATGCACGGGAATATGGTGATGTTTCATATTTTGTCAGTGTAATTTCTCACATTTGCTAATGATTACCAAGTGTCATTATATAGGGTCATAACGCCTTATGCAGCATTTTGGAGAATACTGATAGGTACCATCTTTAAATCACTCTTTAGATTTAATTCTCACACACACCTGGAAAGATGGATATGAACGCCAGGGAAGGCTTTGGGGACCTAGAGAAGTTAGCTTGTTACTAAGGTTACAGGAATGCATACGACATCACTGTTGTCCCTGTTCTGTATGCTCTCTTGACCATTAAATGCTTTCTGTGTGGTACTGGGTATCAAATCCAGGACCTCGAAGAAGCCACAGCTCTCCCTGAGCTACAGACCAAGCCTCGCCCCCTTCTTTCACCTTTTATTTCAAGACAGGTCTTACAGTTTCCCAGGGGTCCTTGAACTTGTGATCCTTTCAGAGTAGTGGGAACGCGGTCGTGAGCCAGCAGGTCGGGCTTTCGCACGATTTTGACTGTTTGCTGAGTCCGACACCGTAGCAACTCAAGGACAAGGGAAGTATGTGGTTAAAAATCAAAAGGAAGTTTAGACTAACCCAATGAATTAAAATGCATAATCACTTCCCTTCCTTGCCCTAATTTTCTTGAGACAATCATTTCAAATTTGACCTTCAAGTTAAAAACAAACAAACAACGCAGCTGTGCCTACAGACACCCACAACTCATCATTTGCATGGGTTTCTGACCACATACCTAACAACAGTAGTTTTGGGTGTCATGGGACCTCCCACTCCACCTGTTCCTTACTGTTCTTTACAGCCATCTTCAGACCAGGCCACATATACAGGGGAGTGATATGGAGTGTGGAAGCTGACTGACGGCTGTAGTCGGACTTTTATGTGGACCTCCAGCTCACGGAGACTTAGTGTTAATTATGAAAGCTCAGTCTTAGCTTCGGCTTGTCCCACTAGCTCTTCTCACTTAAATTAACCTGCTTTTGTTAATCTACATTTTGCCACGTGGCTTCTTACCTTTCATTCTGTATGTCTGACTCCCTTAATGGCTCGGCTCCTTGGCGCCTTCTCTGCACCTGGATTATCTCCTCCGACCTTTCTCTTCCCAGAAATCCTACCTACACCTCCCGCCTTGCTATTGGCCGTTCAGCTTTTTGTGACACCAACCACAGCAGCACAACTTCGCACAGTGTACAAATATCCATCCCACCACCGAGGGTTCCACCTTAGTTCTTCAAGGTTGGTAGCATCGCTGGCACCGGAAAAGCTCACTGTACTGAGCAGATATGACCTCTGCACAGGCTCATTTACGTCCATATTCCTCAAGTCTCTGCGTGGGGCCAGTCCTGCTGCCCAGACACACGTTTCTCCCATTGACTTCCATGGAAATTATTTACTCCAGAGGTGCAAATAAAGACTGAGTAAGGAGTCTGAAGCAAGCTAGGAGGTGTGGAAAATGCCAGCGTTGAATCAATGGATCTGTTTTCATCTTCATTTACTTTCCCTTCTCTGTTTTTGTATCAAATACAGCCTTTCCTTTCCTTTCCTTTTCTTTCCTTTCCTTTCCTTTCCTCTCCTCTCCTCTCCTCTCCTCTCCTCTCCTCTCCTCTCCTTGCCTCCCCTCCCCTCTCCC